ATGATGGACCTTGAGCTTCATGAGTTTTTTCTCCATGTAACACCTGCTATGGAGCTCTAAGCAGAAATGGAAAGAAGAGATGAATCTAAAATTAGAATTGACAGAACTTAGCGACGATACAAGGAACTAGGGAGTTCTAGGTTTCTAAGAAAAGACACTGGCCAGAAAGGAAGAAGAATGAGTTGTAAGGAAGAGATAACAAATTTGGTTTTAGACAAGTTGAGTCTGAGGTGCCCATGGTTACCATACTAAGTCATAAGGATTTCTCTGGTGGCTTAGAAACTCTACAGTGCTGCTCCTTGGCTTTCTTTTTCAGGTGTTTACAATGTCCTGATAGAACTGGGCCACACAGTCACACATAGGTGCCAATGTGTTAGCCATGATTTAGTCACACACAGTAAGTCCTTAAGTTTTCGGGCTTTATCAAATCTGTAAGTTTAACAGATTCTTTGTCATACTTTTATAAAATAAGGGATACCTGTTTTGCAGTGAAGTCTGACACAAATGCAGAGATTTCCCAGGAATTTTTTCTAGTCAGTGGCTTTAAAGTCCAATTCTAAATGGAGAGACATTATTTACAATTTTAAAAACCAAAAAAGGCATCAAGGACAGGCATTATTGTTGCTCTCCACTTTGAAATGTCATGGAAATCCCATGTGGGTATACATATATGCAAACATATCTATATTCAGACATGAGACTGAACTATTCTCTGAAAAGTTAAGAATAAAAGGAGGGGAAATAAATTTAAGAACAAAAATCAAAATCTATGCTTAACAGTAAAGGACAATTGTATATAACATAAGGATAGAGCCAAATGTCACAATGTCACAGATTCAGTATCAAGGTTTTCCAGGACCTTAAACATTTGGTTAAAGGGTTTGTTGTTGGGGATTGTTGGCCAAATTCTAGCAATCTCATTTCTCAATTAATAAGTTGTCCTCTATTGTTTCATCCTCTGATTTTCTCTAAAAGGTATAAGATACTGAATAGAAGGAGGAAATAGGTTGATTTTTTTAAGGGCTCCAGGACTCTTAAAATCAAAGCCAAATGCCCTGTTGGGAATTACTGGACAAGCAGGCTTAATTCTGAGGAGTTGCGGGAAATGGGCCCCTAAGTAGCAAACCTCCTAGTGGAGGTTGGGGAAGGGGGATCAAGACTCAGAAAAGTCAAACACAAAAAGAGGAAGAGGTTAACTCTCTGTTAAACAATTTGGAGAACTGGATCCATAACCAGAAGGATCCAGTTCTCCAAAATGCCATAGAAGTAAAACTACTATACTGCAATAGCCAATGAACTAGAAACAAGGGTCTCTGACACCACTCAAGATTTTAATCTTCTTTATGAGAGCCAGGAAAAGGTAGTTCATCCATACTCACTGTTTTACGTGTTATCTGTATCCCTTCCCCCATCCCCCACTACCTTTCTGGTGGGCCCACATACACTAGAGAGGTCACAAGGAGAGAGATGGGAGAATGTGGCCCAGTAGAAGAACAGGGGTGGGAGATGCCTAGGAACACCATGACAAACAGTTGGCTTCCATTCCCCATGTCCCTGTGTTGCTGGAGGTGGAAACCATCGGCCCACCTAGTGATGTTTGAATCAAACAAAACATAGTTGCATAGGACAACAGAAATCATCTAGACTGAGAGGCACTTATTTTATTTGTGAGAAAAAAAAGTCTCCTGAGATACACCTTTAGGGATACACCCAAGTCACCCAGCATGCTATGCCACCACTGGGGCCAGATCCCAGGCTGCCTGTGGGCTAGTACTGAGTTAATTTTGACAAAGACACAAATCAACTGGTTTCTCTTGCTACTGAACAATTTAAATATACAACTATAATATTGGCAATAAGTACCAGAAAAACACAAAATTAGAACGCTTTAACGATATACAAGTTTGAGGAAAATTCCCTTGCTGGGAAAAATATAAATAGTAATACATTTTAAAAAAAATCAGTCCTGTGGTTAGGATACTTTCTTAGTATGAGAATAAAACTACTTAAAAGTCACAGTTCTGTAAAAGACTCGGACTTGTAGATGTTATGACTTACTCAAAGTTATATTCTGGGGCAGTAAATTATTTGCTTGCATGTAAGAATCTGGATGAAAAACCAGAAAACAAACACACAAAAACAAAATAAGCATCAAGAACTCAAATGAATCGAAAGGAAAAAAACAAACCCCATTACAAAGTGGACAAAGGACATGAATAGGTACTTCTCAAAGGTTGATATAAAAGCAACCAACAAACACAGGAAAAAATGCTCAGCCTCACTAATCATCAGAGAAATGCAAATCAAAACTACAATGAGATACCACCTAACTCCGGTAAGGGAGGCTATCATTAATAAGTCAGAAAACAACAGATGCTGGTGTGGTTGCAGAGAAAAGGGAATACTTTTACTCTGTTTGTAGGAATATAAGCTAGTTAACCTCTATGGAAAGCAGTGTGGCGATTTCTAAAACAACTAAAAATTGAGCTTTCATATGATCCAGCAATCCCTCTCCTGGGAATACTGAGGGGGTGCTAAAAAAAAAAAAACAAAAACGTAAGCACATTTTAAGAGATGTTATCTTTACTTTTTGAAGTTGAATGGAATTACAGTAGTAATGTGTAATATGATGTTTGCTCAAAAGATGGCGCTAGTCAAATGAATGCTACTGTCACCATGTGACAGTATTACAACTTTAACACAGTTTTTTCATTTCTTAAAATGTGTGTATATTTTTTGGCACCCTCTATATATCCAGAGGAACATAAATCGCTCTGCCAAAAAAACACCTGCAAATGCATGTTTAGTGCAGTACTATTCACCATGGCAAAAACATGGAACTAACTGGATAAAGAAAATATGGTACTTATACATGATGGAATATTATGCAGCCATAAAGAAGAATAAAATCACAGCCTTTGCAGCAACTTGGATGCTGCTGGAGAACATCATATTAAGTGAACTATCACAGAAACAAAAAACTGAACATCACACATTCTCACTCATAAGCAGACCCTGATCACTAGTCACATTAGCACAAGGGTGGGATCAGCAGATGCTAGACCCTGCTAGGGGAGGGAGAGAAGGAGGAGGGAGGAGGGCATGTGGCAACACACTGGGTACCTGTTCCACTATCAGGGGGAGAAAAAGGGCAGCGAGAAGCCCAAACTTCACATGCATGCAACTACTTATGTAGTAAATTCCTACGTGTACTTCACAAGTCTAAAACAAAAAATAAAAAACTCAGCACTTTGGGAGGCCAAGGTGAGTGAATTGCCTGAGCCCACGGGTTTGAGACCATCCTGGGTAACTTGGCAAGACCTCATCTCTACAATAAATCAAAAAATTAGCCAGGTGGGGTAGTACGCACCTGTAGTTCTGGCTACTTGGAAGGTTGAGGCAGAAGGATCACCTGAGCCCAGCAGGTCGACGCTGAGGTGGCCGTGAGCGTGCCACTGCACTCCAGCCTGGGCGAGGAAGTGAGACTCCAACTCAAAAAAAGCCCCCCAAAAAACAAAACCCAGGAAGGATCATTTGAGTTGACCTTGCCTTTGTAAAGGTAGAGTACTAGTATTTTTTCCAATGGGTTTTTAGGGGGAAAAAAATAACTGAAGGTCAAAAATTTAAATGCAGGACTGAAGTTTGGCAGCTGAGAGAATGTATTTAATAGATTCTGAGCAACTCATATTTCTATCTATTTAGCCTCTTAAAGCTAAAGTAACAAGGTCTTCCACCAAATCAAATGCAGCCCAGACCATCAATTCCATTTCAGATTTAGCTTAAACTTGAGGACTGTCAAATTAGCCCTAAACAAACACTGGCCAGTTAAGTGATTTTCTTTATACTAACTAAGGCAGTCCTTTCTTGGAAAAGAGTTAGAAGCTGCTTTAATTTTCATTTGCAGATATATAATTTATAAGATTAAAACACATCACACACACACACATACAGAATTGTTATAAAACATACCAGGAAAAAACTCATTTCTGTCAGAGAAAGCTCAGCATGAACTCTCAGTCTGCATTTTGCTTTCTTGATTTAAGATAATTTTCTTAACATTCAACCACACTGTGGGTCAGGAAACACACTCTACCAGAGAGAAACAGCTCCTTAACAAATCAATTTCTAATCCCCACGGGTGCAAGCTGTAAGATGTTCCACTGAGGGGAAAATCAGACACCACTGAGGTGGCAATGCAGGTGTTTAACCCAAGTAAACAACCTGCCCGAAAGGGTCCATGCTGAGTTTAGAGCTGAAGATGTGGAAGCCACTTTGGATCCACCTGAATTGAAGTGAAAGAGTTGCTTACTTAAAACCCTAAGAAACCTGAATGGAACAGCCATTGGAATGGTTGGAGAAGGTGGAAATTACTGAGGTACGTCTGTATCCCACTGGTTCAAAGTCATACCCTGAGGGTAACATTTTCCCAAACAATCCAGGATGCTCTGGAATAGCTGTTCTGAATTCCACGTATGAAACATCTTTAATTACAAATTGCTGAGGTTCCAGGTGTCCACTCTGTGGGAAAAGCTATACAGTCATTGACAGTGCTTAGGACGACTGTCAAAAATTTATTTAACGGGTTAATAACATCAATGAAGACTAAGTGATTTATCTTTTGTTCAATAGCTTGTACTCTCTGAAGATATCTGAGAGTTTTTTTTTTCTTCTTAAGAGAAAATAGAACATCATCTCTAATAATTCTATTCATCATTCCTTATGAATCTTGTACAAAACAGGCAACAAACACAGCACTTTCTTAAGCTTCCAGCAAGTGAATCAACAGGATACGTAGTTAAAACAAAGAAAAGGAATTAATATACTATGATTCCAACTACTTGATCAGTTTCATATTCTAATATTCTAATTAATATTCTAATTAAATATTAATTTAATTTAATATTCTAATATTCTAATTAAATAAATATTCTAATTAATAATGAGATGTCTGGAGTGCAAGTCCCACAATCACTGACTCTTAGAGCTTTTACTTTACTTACTTGTATTTTAAGAGCAGCCACTGAATTAACCAGAGTCCTACAAGGATCATGCCATTAATTTCACAAATAGAAAAGGCCCACTGCACCCGGTTAAAATGGTCAAAAAACGTGTCCGGTAGTGGAGGCTGCACCTCCTTAGGAGGTACTCGTTCATGGACGACCGAGATCATCACTGTGGTGAGAACAAAACAGGAAAGTGCATAAAGAAAGGCCAGAAGAGTCTTGCCCCACTCCATGGGGTACTGGGAGCGCTCTGGCTCTGGCATGGGGATCTTTATCATCTCCTTCCGATACCCATTTGGCATCCCGTTGGGTTTAATCTTGATGCTGAAGCTGCCATCGGGGGTGGGGATGTCGACGCCGATGTTGAGGTGCCCGTTGGCATGGCCGTTCTTGTGTGCTTCCAGGTGGTGCTCCATTTTCAGGGTTTCTATCATGTCCAGGAGCCGCTGCCCGTTGTCAGAGGAGACTCGGCACAAGGGGGGTTTTTGGAAATCCTCTTGGGTCAGGTTGATCAGGTCCTGGCCTGTGAAATGCTCCAGAGGTTCACAGTACTCTGGCATGGCATTCTCCAGCAGCCAGTCTGCCACCTTCTTGGGTGACCAATAGACCACTTCCTTCATTGTATTGGCAGGCAGCAGGCAGTCCCCGGCTCACTCGTGGCAGGTCAGCAGTCACTGTTCCTACAGGGCAGGACACTGTCCCGCCTCAGCTTGTTCATTCTGTAGGGCCTCATGAGCAGAGACTTGTTTGGCAAGATACTCAGGGCAGTTTTTAAACACCTCATGTAGCTGTCCAGGGTTCCTGAGTACCCGAGCATTAATTCACCTCATTTTTGGACAGGACTCTTCCTTCTGTGGAGACAAGAGAAAAGATCAGGATACTGGGACTTCCAAGTCAACCCCCCCTCAATATGCAAAGCCTTCACATGCACAGGGAAAATAGAAAAACAGTTATTGGCAAAACCATAGTTTTCAAACGTGTATTAGTTTCAGGGGCCACCGATTCCCTGGCTATCAGCCTTCTGTGACAGAGCATTAAACTGAATCTGAAAATGGAGAAATGTTTTACAGGATTTCCAACAGTGTTTCCGAGAAACAATTCACCAGTGCTCTAGATACTACTCAACACAGACCAGGAGTACTCTTTATCCTTACATGCTTCCTGTGATAATTTAAAGGCAAATTCTATCTGGTGAAGAATGTTTAAAAATGTACATACTACACAGCTACTGAATAGACAGGCCAGAAGAAAATCACAGAAATGCTGAACCTCAAGATCACCTGGTCCAATAATTTTATATTCTCTTACCAAAAACAAAAAATCAGTGAATCACCTTTTCCAAATGTGCTTAGGCCCCAAATACTAAGAGAGTTATAAATGCAGCTGCTGGGTTTGCAGCACAGGTGACGATCCAAGCTCCTGCCTGCTCTGTTGATCTGTCTTCTCCCAGCCCCTAGCGGGTTCTGTGAGACCCCACAGTTTGAAAATTAAGGGTTGATCCACTTCCTTCAATTATAGATGAAGACTCTTAGTTCTAGAAAGGTCAAGAAACTTGCCCCTGGTCAAGGAGCAGCCTGCATCTTTGAGCTCAGTGGACTTTTTAATTAAAATACTTGACCAACTATGTGATGAATAATCAAAGGGCATATCTGTAGGAAAGAATGTAAAGCAGGGTTCAAAAGTTTATAAATTTATGTATAACACACGAATGATGTCTGTCTGTGTGCGCGCGTGTGTGTGTGTATGTGTGTCTAGCAGCCACAACTATGGCTAATGTATACAAAGTTAGCAGCCCTAATCTGAAAATCAAAAATCCAAAACATTCCGAAATTCTAAACTTTTTTCAGCTTTGGCATGACACCCACCAAAAAAAAAAAGGGCTCAATGCAGCATTTAAAACTTCAGATTTTTAGATTAGGAATGCTCAACTGAATGCATTCCACAAATATTACAAAATCCCCCAAAGTCTGAAATCGGAAAAACTTCCAGTCCCAAGCATTTCAGGTAAGGGATATTCACCCTGTATAGCATTGCATAAAACACCTGGAAAGTAATACGTCACATATTAACTGAAGTTATACGTGATAACAGTTCTGGGAGTAGCTTCTACTCTTCTCCCACCTATTTTTCTTTAATAAGTACGTATTCCGTTTATAACAGTCATTTAAACTAAAGAGCAAGAAAAGTTAAAAAATAAAAGACATAACTCTTCAACAAGGCATCACAGTTAATGAAACACGGCCTTTGGCAGAAGAGGGAATCACTTCCACTGTCATTATCTCCCATACATAACGCATTGTGTGAGCTTCAGCTTATTCACCTGTAAAATGGGGGTGACCACAGTCAGGTATTTCCTTCACAGGGTTGTTGTCAGTACTTAACTAAGAAACCATATGTGAAAGTTGATGAGACTTAACCCATAAAAGCAGTGATTTTTCAAAGGGGTCTGTAGGCATCAATATTCTTTTTATCATTCTCAAATTGTTTATCATATCTAAAAACCCCTGTCCACTACATCTCACTTTGAAAAAAACCCTTGTCTACCAGGGGGCCAACTTTTCCCTCAAATGATCAATGTTGTGCTAATTGCAAAAAAGCTTGCACAGATTCGGAAGTTTAAAAGCTAGAGATAACTGATGACACTGTTTCTCTGAATATGTTTTTGTGAAATAATAACCTGATAAAATGTTCATTCCATGCTTAAAAACAAAAAGTCTATAGCCAAATAAGCCAAGGAATGGATATTATAATCTCTTCTGAGAACAGCAGTATGCATTAGGATGTTAAAAGCTCAAGAACATACTCCACTTTAAGGAAAAAAAAAAAAAAAAAAAAAAATATATATATATATATATATATATATACACACACCAGAATATATACACACACCAGAATTTCTCAAATTGACTTCATGAAGTCTGTCCTACTCCCTGCTCCTTTGTCTACAAAATGTGTCTCTAATGAACCACAAATCTGAAACTGGAAGGATGATTCACTCTCAATTTTCCAGTTCAGATAACAACCAAGCAAATGGTAGTAATAGCCTTAAAAGATATTCCGGACCCTGCAAAATAAGTGGGCATTCCCTCTCCAGAGCATCCGCAGTGCTGTGCACCTTCCCTGTCATTCCCTCTCATGATCAAGTGTCTCTCTAGACTCTTCCAAGAGCCTATGAGTGACTGTGGAAGAGCTCAACCAATATCTGTTCAATATTTTCAAAACCTTCCTTAGACCTAGTAACATGTAGGTGGTTTATTGGAAAACAAACATACTAACAATGCCACTGATATTGAAAACTGCTGTAAAACAATTTGGGTGGGTAGGGAGAATAAGATGAGCATCTTCCAGAGAAATATAAAACTGAAGTGAATCTCTGACCACTTAAAAACCACTGCAGAGGAACTTCAATTGCCACCGGTACTGCCAGTACAGTGTTAAGAAGACATGCATGCCAAATGGGAGACCTGGCAGAAGGTTGTGTAGGAAAGAGGATCTACTTGGCATCAGACTCAAGTACTCTTCAGCAGAAGTGGGGTAATAGCCAAGGGAAGCCTCAATATCTTGAAGTGGCCATGAGAACACTAAAGAAATATTCTCAGTAGAATGTCCAGGCCCAAGGGAGATAAACACAAGTTATTCACCTAGGTTCTTCATTTTTCCCTTTGCCTAACACAGGAAGTCTGCAAGGACAGGAAAGTCCCTCAGAACCAGAGACCAGACCCAGGTCAAGGCATTATTTTACTTCTTTTTGACGGGAGGAACAGTTTCCACTCAAGAGATAATAAACTTACAACAGGAAATCAAATGGTAGGAGCCAATTTAATACTGGGCCATCAAGCATTCATCTAGCATTGCGAGCACGACCAGCATCCATTTAAAGGAAGGAACATGGCCAGGTGCAAAAAGTGGCTTATGCCTGTTATCCCAGCACCTTGGGAAGCAGAGGCAAGCTTCTGGGTCCAGGCATTTGAGACCAGCCTTGGCAACTTGGCAAGACCTTATCTCTACAATAAATCAAAAAATTAGCAGAGCGTGGTAGTATATGCCTGTGATACCAGCTACTTGGAAGGCTGAGGTGGAAAGATAGCCTGAGCCCAGCTGGTCAAGGCTGTGGTGGCCATGAGCGTGCCACTGCACTCCAGCCTGGGTGACAGAGTGAGACTCCTACTCAAAAAATAAAATGAAGGCAGGAAGGCAGCCAGGCAGGAAGGAAGGAAGGACGACTAATCTTGCAGAGGCGAGCCCATCAGATAGTTTCTGAAAGCCAAGGAAATCCTTTAAGAGACAGTGAGATAAATTAATCACATTCATTAATTTACTGGGACAAAAAAATCACTCCCTCCTTAAAATTAACCCTGTGCTTCCTCATAACTTGGAATTCTCATCTACTCCTCCTCAAAGAGTCTAGATTCTTCCCTTAGTCTTTAAGGTCCTTCTTTAAGTTCTGCCAAGCCTTATCTGGCCACTCCACTTCATAATCCTTTTTCTTCTCCCTGAATTCCTACAGTACTAATCCCTGTGACACTCAGTATCATTTAATCACCTTGTGTGCGTGGTGTGATAGAAAGAGCATTAGTTAAGTAAGTCAGGGCACCTGCATTTGAGATCTAACTCAGCTACTTCCTTTCTTGACAAAGTTCTTTAACTTTGCCCAGCCTCAGTTTCTTCTGGGAAATGAGATTAACAACTACCTTACCAACCTTCACACAGGCAGCTGCTACTGCTGTGAGGAGCCAATCATGAAAAAAAAAAAAAAGGAATACAAGCTACTAATTACTCCCAGAAGTATGTCTTGGTCTTTCTGTAATGTCCTACTTCTTTTTTAAGGCCCAACTGGGCCCAAAGTGAGATTTCATAAATATTTACTGAAGATGCCACTTCCAGATGACATTTTTAAAGCCCAATCATTCCAACACACATGGGTAAAGGCAGTCTTCTAAATTTCATGAGAAAATAAACCTTTGTTTTTCAAGCAAGCTGTGGACCTTGAAAGTAAAGGCTTACATGCTGTTTTCCTGCAGCTGATGGCAAAATCATGCAAAAGGAAAAAGCTCATTGCTACGGTAGTGAACTGCTGGACAGCTACTTAGCCCTTCAAGAGCCACTGCTAAAAGGTGAGACTTACCCAGAGCCTAGCTATAGAGGGAGAGGTGAGCGATCTTTCCCTTGGACTCACACACTCCATTTAGAATGTACTATGGTGTTTTTGAAAAGGGAAAGGCAAAGTGTTTTCAAATCTAGGCCCAAAAGACTGTGTTAGCCTGGGCTCAGAAAAAAACTACTGCCATCACCCAGAAAAGTCCTCTTGAATCTATTACTGGGAGAATGTTAAAAATAACAGCCTGTATTATTAGACTTATTTCTTGGGACTGGGAAGAAGTAATAAAAGAGAAAAAAACTGTACATCAATTTCTTTAGCTCCATATAACACAAAATTGAGAGACAGAAAAGGTGCTGAAACACTCATTCACCTGTAATTTTTTAGATAAAGTCCAGTGAGATTGTGATTGGTCTAAAATCTCATACACCGCAAATAATTAATCCTGAGACCCAAGATGCTTTTCAGGGCTCTCGCAACACAAAATACAGGATAGGTTCACAGATTTGAACATGTATGAAGCATAGTCTAAAAAAGTCTTTTTAAAAAATGTTGGTGTCCTTTAGGGTAAAAGAGAAGACCATCAGCACATGTTCATTATAGGTTCTAAACTCAGTAGGGTTTTACAACTAGCCTCAGCTTAATAAACAATAAATCTGCTCAATTCAATTTGGCTCCAATTTGTAAAATAGATATTTTAGTTTTTAATATGGTAAAAATCATCCAGTAAATATGTCATGACACGGTATAAAT